CCCTGCAGACACCTGCTCCAAGGTAAGACGGGCCAGGAGCACTCGGCCCCGCTCAGCTTGGCCGCACTCTGCACGGACGCAGGGGCAGGTGGCCCGCGAGGAGCACTGCAGGAGGGTGGGCTGCCTGGGGCTGCTGCTGGCCCTGGGGAGGCCATCAGGCAAAGCACCCCGGCCGGCCTGAGGCAGTGCAGGGCGGGCCTCCAGGGGGTCCTGAGGAGGGGCTGCAGCTTTACCCCACGCTTCGGCACCATCCCAGCCGACGTGGGCCTTCTGAGAAGATGGTGACAAGAGCACAACTAGGCAGTGACTTTTGGGACCCCCAGAGAAGGCCGAAGTTCACATTCTCTGTCCAGCTCCAAAGCCTTCCCCAACCAGACAGGCAGGGAATCTCACCCATCAGCACCCTGACCCTCACCTGGACCCCGTGCCCCCAGCTGGGACGCGCGTCCACCACCCAGGGACAGAGCATTAGTTCTGACCCCCAGTGGGGCTCGTCCCTCCTCAGCTTTCCTGAGGCTCATGGTTTGACTGCTTGCCAAGGGGTCCACCTCCCTCCTGGTCCCCAACAGGCAACTTAAATCCACACTCAGAACAGCCAAAGCAGGAAGGAGAGGGTGGTGGCCTCCAGACGGAGGTCTGCAGCAGGACAGGCCCAGATATGCTGACCAGCTCTGGACCAGACCCAGGGCCCAGAGTCTGTCTGCCTGCCTGTCCTCACATTGATCATTCTCAGGGATGTGTGCCTCGTGGTGACAAGATGCCTCCAGTGATTCCAAGCATCACATACAGATGTCACAGGGGTTCACTTGATGCCTTGACTGTATCCCTTGTCACTCTGAAAATCACATGTTTGTTTTTCTTTTTCCCCATCTTCTTCTCCCTGACCTCTCCTCCCCAATCTCACTTTCTCCGAATCACCTCTTTAACAGTCCCTCATTCCCACGGATGGGCGAATCACAGCCTTGGGGACAGGAGTCCCCGTGTTGCTCTTTTGCTAGCAAAGCCATAAACCTGCTTTTTCCTTTTTCTCCAACGGTGTCCTTGTCACCAGACTGGCACTGGAGGAGGGGAGCGAGCTTTGGGCCACACAGAGGCCGCAGCCACCATGGACAACACGGCTGCTTCTTCCTCGCCTCTCTCCGTGGGTGAGGAACGCCCCCAGACTCGCCCTCACTCCCTGGCCCATACCCTGGAGAGGCGAGTGGCCCCCAGCACTGGTCTGCCTTCCGGGGCTGGAGGCCCAGGRCTGCCTCCTCGAACCACGCGACTCATGGGAAGGAGAGAATGGGAGCAATCAGGTCCGAGGAAGGAGGAGGAGGAGCAGCGCCCGGTGCTGGCCGAAGCCCTGCTCCTGTTTTGTGCAGCCGCTGACAGCCGCTTCTCCAGTGGCGCTCTCCACCGCAGCCTGTGGTCCTGCTGGTATCTGAGCCGGAGCCTGGGGAGGACCACTGGCTGCCCGGATTCCTCAGCAGACCCTGGTGCCCACCACATGCCGCTGGCCCAGGTGGCCTCTGTGCCCCATTTCCCTCCTCTCAGCCAGGTCTGGCCCACCCACCTCACAGCCTCACCCGCACCCTACCGGTCACCCCGCAGAGCTCCAGCCCTGCCTCTGGGCCTCGTCTACCCCGTGCCCCACCAAGCACCACCCTGCTGCCCTCTCAGGACCAGTCCAAACCCCACTCTCCCCAGAAGCGGTGGACACCACCTGTCTGACCTGGATCCTCCAGAGCCCTTCCTGCCCCAAGACCTGRAGATCCGTGCGGCTGCTTTGTGAGGGCGACAGGGCTGCACCCCAAGACCTGCCTCTCCCACCTGCGCCTCACCGGCTCCCTGTGGGATGCCCTGACGCCCCTGCGGCGGGCCCACTCACCTTCAGGGAGAAACCGAGACTCAGGGAGGTCTGAGCTCACTCCTCGCTGCCCCCTTCAGACTGCCTGGAAGCTCGGTGCCCTGAGAGCCAGCGGTGACTTGGAGCACGAGGGATCCAGGAGCCGCCYGGTGGGGCCCTGTGGCCACTCCCAGATGCCAGCTGGGGCTGCAGAAGCTCTGCCTCGGAGGCTCCTCTTGGACCAGGGAGGGCGGCCTCAGCTCCTTGCCACCCAGACCCTCCATGGGAGCATCCTCAGATGCTGATCCCAGCTGCTGAGAAGTCTGCAAGTCTCCCCTCCCGCAGCTCTCCTGGCCTCGCCTGGCTGCTGGCCCTTCACCTCTGTCCCCCCATGGATCACAGGAGGCCTCTGCAAGGTTCCAGGGYTGCCTCTCCCCCTGCCTTCCTACAGGACACCACTCCCTGGTGACCCAGCTCCCAGAGCCCACAGGGCAGGGCCACGTTGGTGACGTGAGCCAGGCTCCCTCTGTGAGCAAACCGGGCACCCGTGGACTCTGTCAGGTGGAAGGTGGGATCCGGACGCAGGCTGGGCTCATGAAGCTGGGGGTAAGGAGGAGGGGAGGAGGGGAGCGGGCACCTCCAGTCCTCCCCAAGCCCCAGCAGGGAGGGAGTCCTCTGGAGAAGGCTGAGCCCTGTGAGGCGAGGGGGACTAAGCATTGGGCTGTTGGGTGTGAGGGTGTTGGGATGTGAGGTGTTGGGGTTGTAACAGTGTCYACTCTGTGCTTTGGTGTAGCCCAGGCTGCTCGGCCACGGCCCCTGAGTTTTAAAATGGACGTGTTTCACCTCTTCCTCTCTCCTGCTCCTCCCTAGACTCAGGGAAACAGGTGGCCTTTCTTCCCCTCGTCGGCGGAGCTCTGTCCCTGAGCACACACCCACCCCAGGACCCAGTGATCCAGACTTTGGGTTTGGCACCAGAAGATCTCAGAAAGACTGTCCCCCACATTAACAGGGGAATCACACTGCACCAGTGGACCCGGGAATGTGGCCTTTGAGCCACCTCCTTAACAGCCCCGGGTCCTGCTGACAGGCGGAATCAGCCTCTGGGACAGGAGCCCCTGGGGGTCTCCTTTGCTGGCAAAGCCACAAACCTGCTCTTTCCTTTTTCTCAAAGCCCTGTCCTCGTTGTTGGATGGGCAGCGGGGACAGGACTGAGTTTTCGGCCACAGGGTGATGGGCTGTGTGTGCTGGGTGTGCAGGGCATCTGGGGTGTGGAACTCAGCTGCCTAAGCTCAAGGCATGGGCTGAGGCTGCACTCGGGTGGCCCTGAGAGGTTAGCCTGTCTCCTGGATGGCAGGCAGGGACCGTCCACACCTGTGGCAGCCAACACTGCCCTCTGGCCACTGGAAGACTCTTCCCCATGTTTTCCATCTGTTTCTTGGGCAAATGTCTGGGCTGCATTTGGACTGGTGATACAGGGGGCTGGCCAGCGTGAGGATGGTGGTGGACGTTCTCTGACAGCAGTGCGGCTGGCATCACAGCCTCACTGAGGCCTGCTGTCCTCCGCTCGGCTGCAGCTGGGTTGACATGGAGGCCTCCAGCAGCGCCACACGCTCTGCGGCCTGAGTGCCCAGTTCTCCAGATGTCCTTTCTTGGTGCCCTGCTCTGCTCTCTGTTCTCCTCCCTGAAGCCGCGCCATCTGCAGGCTGTGCACCTGGACACGCCTGGTTTCTGCACCTTCCCTCTCCCGCTTCCCTCTTGGTCTGAGTCACCTTCAGAAGATTCCCCTTGTTTTCTGGCCCTTCCACCAGATTTCCACTCAGGCACCATGTTCTCCATCCTATGGTCCCCTCCATGTCCTGGGGACATGACTCCAGGGAACATGGCACCTCAGCTCTGAGGGCAGGATCGGGGTCTTTCAGCTTCACTGGGCTGGCCCTGCTCCCTGCAGTGGTTTTTGCCAAGGGTTGTAGCCCACGTCTCGTGTGTCAGGGGCTGTCCTCAAACGTCGCTCCTTCCTGACCACCTGAGCTCATGAGCAACCCCTGCAGTGCCCACCGGGAGAGCCCAGGGCACAGACGGGATCGGTCTTATCGCACCCTCTTGCAGGGAGCCAGGCCACGTGGCTCCCAGGGCCACCATCCTCAGCTGTTGCAGTGGAATGAGCAGGTTCGAGCTGTCCCCAGCCCCACCCCACCTCAGTGCACGGCTGAGCCCTTCAACTTCCCTGGGAACCACGAGTGGGGACTGCAGAAAGACATTTAAGCCCAGGAGTCCTGAGCTCCAGGTGGCCTTTGTCCCAGTGGTAGACATCACTGTTCCTCTGTCCCTCCCTCTTGGTCCTTTTGCACCCGTCAGCCTGCCCAGTCCCACAGGAGGCAGTGAATCCCCACCCAGGCCCAGCCTGTGGGAGGCATGGCTGAGGCCTGGACTCCCTCCTTTCTGGATGACACCTAGTGGGAGGGGACCCAGGGCCTCAGAGGCTGGGGCCCAGTGTTACAAATGCCCTGCAGACCCAGCAGCTCCCTCCAGATGGTCCTTCGGCTCCTGAAGCTCCCCTCTGTCCCTCCCCCCAGAAGGACGGCAGGGACAGCCCTTTGCTGCACTGTGTGCACCAGGTCTGCAGGTGATTTCCACCCATGCTCTGCCAGCATGTTCGGTTATCTTTATTTTACAAGAAAGTCAGGGTTTCGGCTGGCTGGGTGGACTGCTATGACCAGCTTTCCCTCACTGACAGCAAGTGAAGATCATGCCTAGTTTCGGCCTCTTTGAGGACAGTCTCAGATTTTGGTCTGTTTGGAACTCCCCGCGGAGCGGACGCACAGCCCCAAGCTGCACGCCCAGGGAGCCCAGCAATCTGCATTTCCCCGCTGGTCACTCTGATCTTGAGGAGCTGAGGTCCTCAGACTGCGGTCCATTAAGGCAGCAGCAGAGACTGTGCCTATAGAAACGAACACAGGTGAGAACCGACACCACCAGCTGCCCAGAGCCCCTGTCGCCGCAGGTTGGTCAGGATAGCGCAGCATCGAGCGACAGCTGGGCCGGCCTGCCCCAAGAGCAGGGACCCGCCGGAATGTTTACGTCCGGAACCTGCTGTCGCAGCGCCACGCCCGGGGGATGAGCTAGGGCGACGGACGCGCCGCACCAGGGGACGCCATTGGGCAAGGGACTAGGTTCCGGCCAGACCTGTCGACCCGGTGGGACCTCAGAAGCCCCGCCCGACCCCGTGACCCCGTGACCCCGTGACCCCCGCCCGACCCCGGAGCGCGGCAGAGCTGCTAGCCGTCACCGCCCAGGTGAGCGCGCGCCGGCCCGTCTGCGCAGTCCAGTGGGCCCCCAGGCCCTCGCCGTCCATCCGCCCCGGGATCCCCTGGGTCCCTGGGGTCCTCGCCGTCCATCCGCCCCGGGATCCCCTGGGTCCCTGGGGTCCCCGCCGTCCTCGCCCCGGGATCCACTGGGTCCCTGGGGTCCCCGCCGTCCTCGGGTGTGGCGGCTGCGGCTCGGAATCTGCGGGAAAGGCCGGAGCGAGGGCAGCGGCCCTGGGGGCTGCGCTGGGGTCCGGCCGCCGCTCTGCTGCGACCCTGCCTGCGAGGTGGCCCCGGCGGCTCCCCGCGGCCCTGGCCTCTGAACCTTCTCTGCACAGAAGACTGAAGCCTGGGTCCGGGGTGGCCGGAAGCTGACCCTTGCGGTTGGCGTTTTAAAATGGCATTTTACTTCCCAGATGGACGTGGGCTCCCACCACGGGTTTTCCCTTTTGGTTTTGAAGTTTGAACTGCGCGGCTCCTGACTGGAACCGGCTGTGATTCGGAAAACAGCCCCCAGCCACAAGCACTGCTGCAGAGGAAGACCCTGTGCTGCGGCCCCCACCCCATGAGGCCAGGCCTGAGGACTGCTGGGCCACCCTAGTGCAGGGGCCGAGGGGCGGGCGCAGGTCTGAGGAGCASCATGCCCCTTTGGGAGTGGCTCCCCTCTCCCATCCCGTGCCCCCACTTGCTCACACCGCTTCTGAGGCAGAGCCTGGTGTCCAGGGTCACTGGTGGGAAGTGAAGGTTCAGGCAGGTGCAGAAAACCAAGAGGACAGGACAGGAGGCAGCCCTTCTGGTGCTGGCCTGGCCTCTAGGCCTGTGTCCAGATGGCCTGGGTGAGGCTGCTGTTGGTGCACCTGTGTCCAGTGACCCCAATCCTCCTGCTCCTCGAGGTGCTGTGGCCTCACTCCTGGGCATGGTAACATTGCCGGCCTCTGGCTGGTGGGGTGCCAGGGCTGTGAAGCGCCTGGCTGAAGTGCAGGTGTCCAGCCCAGTCAGCACTGACCGCGCTGGTGTAGGAGCCAGGTGGAGGGCCCCGTGCCTGAAAGGCAGGTTCTCTGGGAGCCGCTCTCGGGGAGGACGGTGCTCACTGGAGGCCAGCTGTGCTCCTTCCAGATGCCCTGGAGGGGTCATTGCATTGGAGGAAGACACCTGAGATCAGAGGGGCTGAGAGCTGGCCTGGAGGGGCCGGCGCCCTGTGTCTAGAGRAGGGTGAAGTGGCAGCTGTCTTCAGAATTAAGGTGACCCAGCAGAGCCTCCCCCGTGTAAGCACAGCCTTCCACATGGACTTCCCTCGGTCCCAGTCCTCTGGGACCTATCCCTGGCTGCCTCTTGCCTGTCCTCCTTACAGGAGCCCCTCCAGCCCTGTGGGAGCCAGATGTCCCACCGTGGTTCTCGTTGGTGACCAGGGGCTGTCGGTGGCAGAGGTGCTGCCCACCAACCTTCAGGGCCCTTGGCTGGGGCTGGGCTTGGTGTCCCAGGAAGCAGAGTGCTTCCACCACAGTGAGGCCAGTGTGGGCCTCTAGTCTCCCTGACGGTGGGGGACGTGACTGGGAAGGTTCCAGTGACTCCCTCTGACTTAGGTTGAGTGGCTTAGAACACCTCTGTAAAGCAGGGTTCAGCCTGGCTGTCCTGTTCCCTGAACCAGGGGCCGAGGGAGATACCACCAGGGGCAGAGGGAGAACCCCAAGATGCGGAATGTTGTCATCATGTCCAAACACTGCTGTTGAAAGTCCCCCAGCACAGTTGGGGTGCTGCTCTGAGAGCTACAAGTCACTGCCAGGTGGAGTGGCAGAGGAGGCTCCCCAGGGGCAGAGGCCAGGGCAGGAAGAAGCTGAGGAGCAAGGGACTTAGTGCCAGGGAGGGTGGCCAGCAGCACGGGGACAGTTTCAGTGAATGGTAGCAAAGTCCAGGATCACGGCGCCTCTTGGCGTCCATATCAGCTGTCTTCCATCTGAAGCCACGTGGACAGGCGCTGGCCTCTCAGTGGGTCTGGAAAGAGGCGCAAGTGCCTGTGGGTGGGTCCCATGGCACCTCTTGAAGTGGGCAGTCCCGCCCTGCCTCCCAGGGGCTCGGTGCGATTTGTGGAGAGRCAGAAGGTGCTTCCAACCTGAAGAGACTGGCACCTGCCGGCCAGGTGAACTTACTTGTTAAAGCCCTGCTCTGCCGCCAGCTCCCCACGCTGCCTTTGGGGTAGGCCCCTGTGCCTGCCCTGAGCTGGAGGAGCCCCAGCCGTCCGTCCCATGGTGGCAGGGCCACGTGGCCTCCCTGGCGTTTCTGCGGGCCACTGTCCTTAAGAGCCACCTTGTGTGTCGGGTCCTCCCTGCTCCTAGGCTGTCGCCTGGCTGTGTCACTGCTTAGAACCTGGCGTGGTTTTGAAAAACCCTCCACCTCAGAGATGAAGTGGAAGGCCCAGGTGCTGGTGTCCGGGGGACTGCCTTCTGGCTGGAAGTCCAGGGCCTCTGGGCGGGTCTTCAGAGATGTCCCCAGCTGTGCTGTGGCGAGGCTGTGTTGACGCTGTGCCCCCCTCCAGCGCAGGCCGTGACCCCTGGAGGATGCTCGTCAGTGCCCTGCTACGCTGTGAGAGGCTGCCCTTCCCGCGCCTGGCCTGGGCCTGGGCCTCCTCCTGGCCGACTCCCGGGAGACCCAGAGGAAGAGGCCTCCTGCACACGCACCCCACAGCCCCCTCGGACAGGACTGCCCCTGTGTTTACCCGCGCCCTGGCCTTTGGGGACAGGCTTGCCCTGGTGGATCAGCATGGCCGCCACACCTACAGGGACCTTTATTACCGCAGCCTCCGCCTGTCTCGGGAGATCTGCAGGCTCTGTAACTGTGTGGACGGGGACCTCCGGGAGGAGAGGGTGTCCTTCCTGTGCGCCAATGATGTCTCCTATGTCATTGCCCAGTGGGCCTCGTGGATGAGTGGCGGCATCGCGGTCCCCCTGTTCCGGAAGCACCCGGAGGCCCAGCTGGAGTACTTCATCCGGGACTCGCGGAGCTCTGTGGTTGTGGCCGGCCAGGAGTACGTGGAGCTGCTGCGCCCAGTGGTCAGACGGCTGGGGGTCCCGCTCCTGCCTCTGTCGCCTGCCATCTACCTTGAGGCAGCAGAGGAGCCGGCAGAGGGGCAAGAGCAGGGGCAGGAGTGGGAGTGGCGGGACCGGGGCGCCATGATCTTCTACACCAGCGGGACCACAGGGAGGCCCAAGGGTGCTCTGAGCACCCACCGCAACTTAGCAGCCGTGGTGAGTGTGCGGCGTCCTCCCATGCCATCGTGATGGACCTGTGGGTGAGGCCCTTTCTGGGTGGCTTAGTCCTGACCCTTGCTCACAGCTCACCACCCTGCACACGCCACCTGAGTTCTTGGTGACAGAGGGTCACAGGATGCATGACCTCAGCCTCCCTCACCAGGACAGCAGGGTGGGGCCCATGAAGGTAGAACAGGCCACTGTGTGGCGTGACTCAGGCCTCAGGGTCAGGGCCTGGAGCTGAAGGCAGGAACAGAGTCCGGGTCTGCTCCTCTCTTGGCCCTCCAGTGCTCTGTAGCCTCAGCCCCCATGTGGGCAGAACGTGGGTTGTCCCCTGCTGGCCTCAGACAGCGGCCGTGTGCACGGTGAAGCCTCGTGCAGCGGGAGCAGTAGGATGGGGGCTCGCTGTGGGTGGCTGGGCGGGCGGCAGGGGTGCAGCCAGCTCTTCTGGAGGTCCGTCTGGACTGCTCTCCAGGCAGAGAGGCCAGCAGGTGTGCAGGGACTCACAGGGGCTTGGTCCACAGCTGCTCAGTGAGTCGGCCACACCTGCCACGGCCAATGGCAGAGCTCAGTGCAGGCCGTGGTGGTGGCTGTCCTTGTCAGGCCTGAGCTCTGCCGTGGCCCGTGGCCCAGGCCTGGACAGGGCCAAAATCACACGGGGTGTTTGTAGAGGCCTTTCCAGGGTTGCCAAAGCCCCAGAGGGTGGCTGTGCCCCCGTCCCTGGTGAGCGGTGAAGTCACAAGTCCTCGGTCTGTTCTCACCTCCCTTCATCAGCCATGGGAGGGACAGAGCTGGCCGTCCTCAGGGCCTCTGGCCCTTTCTGGGGGGCACACCTGCAGCCTTTGCCGTGTCCCCTGCAGGTTACTGGGCTGGTCCACGCTTGGGCATGGACCAGAGACGACGTGATCCTCCACGTCCTCCCTCTGCACCATGTCCATGGCGTGGTCAACAAGCTGCTCTGTCCACTCTGGGTGGGAGCCACCTGCGTCATGCTGCCCGAATTCAGTGCTCAGCAGGTGAGTCAGTGGGCCCTGGGAGGCTGCCCAGACCTGGGGGTTTGGGACAGCCTGTGTTCATGCCGCTACGCCTCTGGGTGCGGAGTCTGAGATGGGTCTGACTGAGCCGGATGGTGTGGGCGGGGGGTTCTGTCTGGAGGCTCCCTGGGAGGCCCATGCTGCATGCGGCTTCTGGAGGCTGCCTGTGCTCCTGGGCCTTGCTCCTCAGCAGTCTCGTGGCCTCCTCTCATGAGGCCTGGTGCGTCATCCAGCACCCTCTGCCCATTCTCAGACCCTCCAGGTGGGGCGACAGGTTTGGAGCGCAGGGAGGAGGGTGGGGCCACAGTGGCCCTGGCAGCCACTGTGTTGCTCGCGGTTCTTGTGGGGGAAGTCCAGCTGGAGGTTCCTCAGTCTCCCAGCATCGTGGTCCTCCCTGGTGCTTCTGCTAGTGTGGGCCCTGGGGCTGCGGTGGCAGTGGTGAGTCCCCGTGCAGGGCAGTGTCTCCAGGGCAGAACAGACACTGCTTGGGAGGGGACAAAGAGAAAGGGCCTTCCTTCCTGCGAGAGGCTGGGTTTGGGTCCCTTCTTTCTTCGGTTTTCGTCTCCATGGAGAGTGGTGCTGTCAGTGCCCTCCCCTGAGCTCGGGCAGGCCTGGCCTGTTCTCCTTGCCCCTGGCTTCCAGGCCTCTGTCCTGTGCTAGAGGCCAGGCGCTCCCTGTGGCAGACCTGCTGTGGTCGCCCACATCGCCCCACTGTGTGCAGAGTGTGTGGCCTGCACTCCAGGGGCACAGCCGCCCATCCCTCCTCTGGACCAGAGCCGGGGGCCTTGGAGGTCAGGCCCATACTCCTCAGCTCAGCACGGGGGGCCTCCACTGCCTCCTCCTGGGCCCCTGGCATGGAGACTCTTCTGGAGCCTATTCTGGGATCTCTGCCAGGGTCCCTCTGGGGTCTCTGCCCGGGGTCTTTCCCTTGGAGTCTCTGCCCTGGGGTTCCTCTTCTGGGGTTTCTGCTCTGGAATCTGTGACACTCTAGGCCAACTTGTCACATGAGTTCTTGTTTTGCTTTGTTATCTGGCAGTGCTGGGGATGAACCCGAGCCTCACACATGCTAGGCAAGTGCTCTACCACTGAGTATATTCCTAGCCATTTCTGTTTTTATTATTTTCTTTTCTTGGTGGTTCTGGGGATTGACCCCAAGGCCTCCTGGACCCTAAGAAAGTGCTCTACCACTAAATGACATCCCAGCCCCCTATTTTTATTTTGAGACAGAGTTTTGAAAAGTTGCTCAGGCTGGCCTTGAACTTGCAGTCCTCCTGCCTCTTAGCCTCCTGAGCAGCTGGGCTCACAGGCTGTGCCACTGCACCCAGCTCATTAGCTTATAAAGAGGGTGAAATCTTACATGTTTGCAACTCTTGACACTTCCTTGGGATTTTCTGAGAACTCTGCAGTCAGAACTCAATATGGAAACAAATCTGACGCTCTGACTGCGGAAGGCCGCCGCTCTCCGTAGTCCTATAGATTCCCTTGAACTGGAGCCTGTGCCAGTGAGACCAGCTTTCGGTGCCGTGGGCTTCAGTTGAGGTTGCATGTGGAGTACAAGTGCTGAGTGACAGCTGTGGTGGGGTTTCAGTGCTCTGAGGCCTTGCACTGTTGTGTCCCTGGGGACTCCAGGCTGCCAGGGTCCATGACATGCCTGGGAGGGTGTGGGGAGGTGGTGGACGGTCCTGTCTCCTCTGGAGAGCAGTCTGTATGTTCCACCCTGCAGGGCCTCTGTCGGTTGCTCATGCCAGATAGCGCTTCTCTGGCCACTTCTTGGGTTGTGATGGTGATTTTGAAGCGGTGGTTGACGGGGACGGGCGGCGCTGCAGACTCCGCTCTGGGGAGTTCCAGTGCACAGCCCACTTGGGCTGCTGCAAGGACTGCTGCTGAAGCMGGGCCGGGGGCCGGCTGCCTCCGCCAAGTTGAACAGAGCAGAGCACTGTCGCTGCTGCTTCCAGTGACCTGCGGACGATGTGCGCGTGGGAGCCCTGGCTCAGGAGCAGCTGCCCTCTGCTGATCCCCAAGTGCCCAGAAGGCAGAGCCCTCCCCAGCCGAGGCCCTGCTGAGCAGACAGGCCCTGCTGCATGCCGGTGCCAAGGCTGTGCAGCCCACGAGTGGGAAGGGGTGGCGCACAGCCAGGGAGCAGGGCAGGGCCCACAGTGTGAGGGGTGGCTGTGTCCAACACTGAGGTGTGCTCACACCAGGTGTCTGCCACATGTCCACAGCATCAATCTCTCGTGCACCCAAAGTTCACCAGCAGAAAACTCCCCAGGCACCAGGAAAGGGGCTCAGGCTGCCCCTGCCTCTGGTCCATGGGGTCAGGGTGTCACTGCACCCAGGCAACCCTGATAGTGTCCAGTATGACCACCAGCCAACTCCCCGGGTCGGGGAGGCAGCAGGGGACCCGCACCTCCCTGGACACCCGCTCCTCCTCACATGGCAGCCTGCACAGGGCCGTGCTGTGCCACAGGCCGAGCTTCTTCACAAAGTCAGGAGGAAGTGGGGGCCTCATCAGGACAGGACCTGAGCCGCCTAACCAGAGCAGGGTCCCTCCAGGCAGACCACGGGTCTGGCACCAGTTCTCTCCTGCAGAGGAGCGTAGCCTGCAGTGAGTCGGCTGCGTGCGATTCTCCCTCCCCCTGGGCGACGGTGAGCAGCTGAGCTGGGAAGGCCGGGCCTCCCAGTGCAGACGCCACGGCTGGGACTGCTGGGCGTCCCCCTCACTGCCCGTTAGCGGGAACTGCTGGGAGTCCCCCTCACTGCCCGTTAGCGGCAGCCTTGCCTGTGAGGATCAAGGGTGCATCGCCCGGCTCCTGTGCCCTAGAGGGGCTGAGGTCACGGGCTGTTTCCCATGGCAGGTGCGTCCCCTACGCTGGAGTCTTCTTGTTTTGTAAAGTGATTCTCGAGGCTCGCATTTTAACTTGGACGACTTTAGTCTTTTGATTTCTCAGATGGTGCTTTTGATGCCACTTGTGAGAGATCTGCCAAACCAAGGCCACGCAGGTTTCTCAGGTGTCCCCTAGGGGCCTTGCAGTCTCTGCGCAGGAGCTCAGGCCGCCCGCCACGCCTGTCGCCTGTGTGTGGGTGGGAGAAGGCCTCAGGYTCCTCTGCTCCGTGGCCGTCCAGTGGGCAGCTCCTTGCCCTGGGCACCTCCAGCATCGCACGGTGGTGGCCTCTGCTCTGGAGCCGGCTGTGGGGTTGGGGTGTCCTCCACCTTCACTCTCCAGGTTGATTTTGGCTCTTCTGGGCCCCTCCCCTTCTGCGTAAAATGAGGGTCTGCTTGTGGCTGTTGCCTAAGTGAGCAGCCGCAGCTCGGCGTGGGGGGAGGGGGCGTCCTAGCAGCCTGGGGTCTTGCGTCCACACACCTGGAGTGCACGTCTTTCCGCTCCCTCTCTCCCTCAGTGGCCTCGCCAGCCCTTCCTCGTCACAGCCAGCCCTGGCCCTGTGTCCATACCTGAGCTCCAGGTGCTCCGGCCGCCCACGTTGGCCTCCTTCACCCTTTCTCTGTGGTGCTGTCTGTTGCTGAGTCTCCCGGCAAGTCCCCGGTCTGGATGGTGTGCCTTCCGGCTGCACAGTGGCTCTTCTTGCAGTTCTGCTTCTCTCTGCAGTCCTCCATTTCCCCCTTTGGTCCACCTTGGCATCTAAACTGCCTGGTGTTCTAATGTCCTTGTTTGGTCACGCTGACCTTTGTCCTCTGAGGCCCACTGCAGCTGATGCTCAGCATCTCACGTGCTTGAGGCTTGGGGTACGGGGCCCTGTCTTCAGTGACTGCTGCCGTTTCCCTGTGTGCAGTGCCTCTCCTCTCCCGGCCACTGGGGTAGGGCTCGTTTGCAGGTATGGGGGCGAGGGCACGGGCTGGGCTGCAGATTTTCTGCAATGTGCCTAATTCCAAGGCTGTGGCAAAGCCGTGTGGGCCTCCCCAGGGGCAGGGCCAGGGCTCTGGAGCTTTCCCTGCTCCCGTCCAGCTGGTGGTGTTATGGAAAAGCCCGAGTGGGGAAAGACCTGCCATCTTCACACAGAAGCTCATGCAAGTGTCCTGGGCGAGGCACAGAGTTTGCGAGAGACTTGGGGTAAACAAAAGGCTTCTCTGACTGTGCTAGCCAATGCTGACCTCAGGCCAAAGTAGTCTCCTGGGCTTCTGGTGGCCTCGTCAAGACTGACCTGCTCCTGGCTGCAGACCTGGAACCCCAGCCCTGGGCCCCTGCTCCACTCACAGCTTATTTTTCCTTCCTGGGGCTGGGCTCGAGCGTACCTTTCAGAGAGCCCTGAGGGGCCTGGGTCTGGTCTGGGAACGGCTGTGGTGAGCACTGCCACAAGAGCCCACGTCCAGCGTACATCCTGGGTTGTCCCCCAGCCACCTCCAGGGCGCTTCCTGTCTCTCCCCAGGTCTGGGAGAAGTTCTTGAGCTCTGAGACTCCCCGGATTAACATGTTTATGGCGGTGCCCACAATATACGCCAAGCTGCTGGATTACTATGACCAGCACTTCACCCAGCCTCACGTCCGGGACTTTGTGCGTGCCGTGTGTGAAGAAAACATCAGGTGGGTGGAGGCCCCGTCCCGCAGGAAGGCCCCGTGGCAGCTGACGGGCCTGCTGTGCTCTGCGTGGCCGCCCGCCCGGGCCTTGGTCCACGTTTGGCTCTCCGCGTCCTGGTCTCCGTCTCTTCTCCTCCCTKCCGCGCACATCTGTGTCCACCGGCCTTCTCGGTCTGTCTCCATCCACTCTGCCTTCTCTAGAGCTAGGCTTAGGTTTTCTCTTCTGTGGTAGTTTTTGGAAGACTTGTTTATATTCTAAAATATACCCAACAAATTTAAAAATGCCAACAATTGGGTTTTAGCCCAAACTTGTTTCCATCATGAATCTTGCACTACGATGATGCAGGGAAGCCCAGGGCCACCTGTCCTCCCAGCAGCTCGGAGGCGGAGGCAGCAGGGTCACAAGCCTAATGAGACCCTGTCTCAAAAAAAAATAGGAAGTGCTGGGGTGCAGCTCAGTGGTAGAGCACCCCGGTTCAGTCCCAGCATCCCTCACAGATACACAAAGATGTGTACACAGGTGCATGCAGGTCCCTGCATGTGCGTGTGCGGAGCGAGCTGTGCGTGTATACGTGTACATACATGTGCACACACACGCACCTCTGTGGTGATGCTGGGTGGTGACACCCTAGGTCACCTGTCCCCGTGCGTGAGGACAGAGCTGARCCCGTGGTTGTGCCCTAGGCTGATGGTGTCAGGCTCGGCGGCCCTGCCCACCCCTCTGCTGGAGCAGTGGAAGCACGCCACTGGCCACACGCTGCTGGAGCGCTACGGCATGACTGAGGTCGGCATGGCCCTGTCCAACCCGCTGGCCGGAACTCGCCTGCCAGGTAGGAGTAGCCCCTGAGCCTGCACCTGGAAGCGGGGCCTAGAGAGTGCTGCCCTCTGCCGTGACCGTGGTGGACACCCTGGGTGCTCACCACCGCCGCCCCTGCCCCTGCTGTCCCACGTGGTTGAGGAGGAGGCAGGAGGGCCCTTTTCACCCCGGGCCCTGTGGGTCACCAAGGGGCACAGGGACGAGAGGCCTGGAGCCCCCAGCTGTGGCAGGAGCCCTCAGCAGCCCTGGAGCCCAGGTCTCTCCTTCCCCCGTGGTCAACGTCTCCCCCAGTGCCTGGCTGGCAGCCTCGCGACAGTGCTCCTTCCTGTGGCGGCCTCTGCAGGTGATGGGGGTCGTCACCTGTGCTAGCAGGTCACTTCCCTCCCTTTGCCTGGGGTCTTCTAGGCTGGGGACGGTTGTGGGCACAGCCAAGATGTTGTGAACAGGGTGCTGGTTTCCTCGGGCACCCAGGCTGGGCTGCAGGACTGCTGGATGCTCCTGTGCGTCCGCCCCACCCGGCCACGTCCTGGGCTCTGGGGTCTTCTGTTGGGTCTTCTCTGGTGAGTGGTGGCCTCAAGCGTTGCTACACGTCACTTGATGTCTTTGAGGCTTTGTGGGATCCTGGAGCCGGCCGGCCTTGCTGTGTCCCTCTCGGTGTTTTGCTCTTCCAGTTCCTCTGCCTTTCAGTGCCGTGTGATAGCCCCAGTTTCCCAGGGACTGGGGAAGCCAGTGTCTATTCCAGGTCTCAGACCAGATAGGGGACAGTGGCAGCACAGGCATGAGCAGGTGTGAGCATCGTACTGCAGGTCAGCATGCTGGGCGGGTGGGAGGCTGTGTACGGTGAGCAGTGGGACCCGTCACAGGGCCTGGGAGCCACGGGGCCACTAGGGCTCTGTGGAGGGTGCAGTAGGCTGCCATCAGGGCATCCTGAGCAGAATGGCGGGCTCTGGTGGCTGTGGGGAGAGCTGCCAGTGGGCGGGAGATGGCGAGCAGGCCTGGCTGTCATTGTGAGAGGGAGGCAGTGCGAGCCATAGAAGCTGATCTTGCATCGGACCCTGGAGGACAACGTGGGCACAGGCAGCCAACAGCTTGGCCAGCTCACACGTGCCATGGCACTGCTGTGTGGCAAGGCCCGTGTGTCTGCGCCAGCCTTGCCCTGTCTGCAGGGGTGGGACGGAGCTGGAGACCAGGCCCACGGCCCCAGGCTCCCCGGCCCTCACTCCTCGTGGTGTGTGATGGCCCACAAGAGTGCCAGTCTCTGCAGTCCCGGCTCAGGAACTCGGGTGCCATGTCCCCCCAGCCTGACTACAGGCTAGAGCCCCGGCTTGGGCCCCTCTTCTCCTGGAAGCAGGTGCTCTGTGGAGGGCTGTCCTCACGCAGCCCTGGGGTGGCAGTGGTGCCACCCTGTGCATACTCAAGGGCACTGAGGCTGGGGACCTGCCTAGTGGTGCAAGTGGACATGGACCCATGCCTTTGGGCAGACAGGGCCACCCTGAAGCACAGGAGTAGGACAGGGGCCTCCCCTGCCTTAGTGAGGGGACAGAGATGACAGAGGAGCTGAGGCTGCAGCAGGAGGGGAGGGGGCAAGACAAGGCCTTGGAGGGATGGCCACAGAAAGGGGTGTTAAGGTGCAGGACAAGAGCCAGGGGCCAGGGGACTTCCAGTGGTGGGGTGAGGAGGGCGCCTGGGCTCATGCTGACGGGAAAGAGGTCCAGAGATGGGGAAGGGTCCAGAGACGTTGAGACTCGGGGCTGCCTGGGAAGAAGCTGGAGTGCAGGAACCCGGGTCCTGAGCACCTGGACACAGCTTGTCTCGCCCCACGACAGCCGCTCGCCCACAGTGCACCTGCTGCTCCTGGCTGGGAGCCGTGCAGCAGCTAYGCCACATCCGGAGCATCTCCTGGCAGGCGTGGGGAGGTGGGGTGGGACTCTGACCTTGGGGCCAAAGGGTGTATCCCAGCCAAGACCCAGACCTGTATTCCTGCTTCCTGGGCTGCTGCTCTCCTGTCTGCGGAGCCTCAGCGCATTATTCCTGCAGTGGGCTGGGCCACACCACCACCAGAATTCACTCAAGCTCCCTGGAGCCTGTCAGGGCATGGAGGGCAGCCCCAAGTGAGAGGACTGGCTGCAGGACCCATGTCCAGTGTCCAGCTCCAGCTTCCACCTCGTGGGGCTGCTTGAGGGGAGAGGCCTTGACCAGCATAGCGTCCTGCCTTGACAGGGCTCCAGCCCTTGCCGCCCGTGTCCCCTCTGGTGGGACTAGGCACGCCAAGGCAGCACGTGCCTGGACCCCAGGATGAGGGGAAGGCTGATGGAGGGGCTTGGGCAGAGCGGACGGCTGTCCTGCAGGGCGGGGACTGGACTGGGACAGTGGTGGTGCCCCTCTGTCGTCCAGAGTGCGGTGATGGGCAGCTGGTGCKGTGGCGCTCTCACAGGCTCCCATGGGTCTGTCACAGACACCTCCCAGAGCTCAGCCACTGCCAGTAGTCAGGCCTGTGTGGGCAGCTCACCTGTTCCTCCCTGGGGGCAGCACTGTGGCCAGGTTCTGGTCCACCCACAGGTTCCCACTGGCTCCCAGAGCCTGAGAAGGCTGCTTCTGGCCTGGTGAGCTGGAGCCCAGGTCACGTTCCAGGGACAGAGATGGTAAGAGGGCTCGGGGCCCCAAGGTGCTGCACCACTGCTGGACAGGTGCTCAGGGGACGGAGAGCCAAGCCCCTGGTGGAGCCCGAGAGGCTGAGGCAGCACGATGGCAAGTCTGAGGCCAGCCTGAGCGACTTAGCAAGCCCCTGTCTCAAAATAAAGAGGGCTGGGATGCAGCTCCGTGTGCAGCACCCTGGGGGTCAGTCCCAGCACCATAAAAAGGAGGACAAGAGATCAGAGTGGCCTGTGTGTGAGGGAGGGCGGGTGGTCCCGTGGGTGATCCCACCCAGGGCCCTGAGCTCATGCCTGGTAGACGATGGTGATATTAGCATCGGGTCCTTGTCCCCCCAGGTTGAAGAGCACCTGAGAAACGGTGGGACGAGAATAGAAAGTAAATTTATGTAAGAAACAGAACAGGGCTGGGGTGCCGCTGTGTGGAGCACTTGCCTGGTATGTGCGATGCACTGGGTTTGACTCAGCACCACACGAAATACATAAATAAAACAGGTACTTAAAAAACCTTTTTAAAAGAAAGAAAGGAAAAGAAATGGACAGAGTCTCCTCTGGAGGGGAGGGCCCCAGAGCTGTCACTCCGGGAGGAGGGTTGCTTTGCCCCTTACAGATGACGTTAGGTTCCTTGTCTTGTGCCTCTGTGACCAAAGGCAGAAAAGAACCGAGCAGGGGTGAGTGCTCGTGTTGGGAAGTGCCACCCTGCCCTCCCCGGGCCGTGTGGGCAGCTGGTTGGTGGGGAAGTGCCACCTACCCAGTTCCTTTTGGTCATCCGCTACCTGTTCTTGGCCCCGGTCTCAATGGCTTTGACCTGCCGAGGCCATGGAGCTCCTGCCTGGGCAGGTCCATCTGACCATCTGACCATCTCTGGCATGGTGGGTCAGCTGAGGGGCTGGACCTCAGAGCTGGGCTGGCTGCCCTCCCATACCCACCCAGCCTGCCCCAGCAGTGGGTCCACCCTGCAGTGGTGCACGGCACCCTCTGTGGGTTTCCCCACTGCATGGCAGAGGCTGCAGTCACCAAGGAACAGGGACCTGGCGCACAGCAGAGGAGGCTGCAGCAGCCCTTGGTCTTGCTCACCAGTGACGCCAGGGAAGCGGCCGGTGTTCACCTGGAGGTCTCAGCCCTCCTGGCTCCTCCTGGCCCTCTCTCTGTAGCAGGGCTGCGTCCAAAACAAGGGCAGTGTGGACAGACCTGCCAGGAGTCGGGATCTGGGGGCTGGGGGCCCTTGAGTGGCCATCCTGGGGCTCTTCGTCCCATGGCACACCCCACGATTCTGGCCATGAAGATAAAGGCCCTGGAGCCACTCAGTGTACTCGGAGTGGCGAGTCTGGACAGTGGCTTCATGCCTGTGCAGGTGCCACTGCTGTCCCCTGCTCCACTCCCCCACCATGTGCCAGCTCTGGGGCAGGTGTCTCTAAGGCCGGCCTTTGCTGACCTACTAGGCTCAGCTGGCAGCAGAGATGCTTTTGGAGYGCCCTCCTGTGCCGGGTGGGGCCTCCGGGAAGCATCTCTGCAGCTGGACTCGCCGCCCCTCCACAGGCACCACCTGGCTTCAGCGCAGGCAGTACCAAGCAAGCCCGCCTCCCCTCGAGCCAGGGCAGCACCCGCCCTCCTGCCTCAGCAAGCCCGCCTCCCCCTGGTCCTGCTGTCCCCGGTCCCTGGTCCCTCCCTGCCCCTTGTCAGGATGCTCGTGCATCTAGCTCAGGGGCCAGCACTCCCTGGCTGGGCAGGTAGATGGAGTCTGCCACAGCAGCCGTGAGGCCACTTGGACAACCCTGCTGGAGCCTTGTGAGGTCGCCCCTCGAGTCTCAGGCGCGCCACACCCCCCAGCACTGGGTCCCAGCCGTGTGCTCACAGAGCCCCGCTGGCACCCGGGCGAGTGGGTGTCCCCTCTTCCAGGAGCTTCTGCCTCCTGCCTCCTCCTGCCTGTTTCTCCCTCTGCAGGTTCTGTGGGGACCCCGCTGCCGGGAGTGGAAGTGCGCATTGTCTCTGAGGGCCTGCAGAAGGAGGGCTGCCCCTACGCCGTCCACGCGGAGGGAGACGAGAGCGGGACAAAGGTAGGGCCGGAGGCTGCCCCACCTGGCGCCCACAGCGCACGGAGACGTTCCCTTGGGGTGTGCCCTCATGACGGAGGCACTGCTTGGTGTCACGGAGCTCACTGGCCAGTGTCGGTGGGCCTTACCCACAGCTGTTCTCTGGCCACTTCCAGGACATGGACAGTGGAGCTGGCCCAGGCATACCCTGCTCCCCTGAGGCTCCCTGGGGCCCAAGGGCGTCACCATGGCCTGCTAAGCAGCCCAGGACAGCACAGGGACCCATCAGAAAGGTGCAGCTGGAGGGTGCTGTCACAGTCCCAGAGCCCCACAGCCTCAGGTGCCTTGCTGCCAACTGAGGGTGGCTCCGTGTCCGGTTCACTCTGCAGTGGGCAGGGGCAGCCCGGGAGGGCCGTCATCTCCTGTCAGCAAGGGTTAAGAGCTAAACACCCACCCGTCGCAAGGCCCTCAGGTCAAGGAAGCTGGGGTCCCCAGGACGTGGGATTCCAGGCTGGTGACAGGCTGGGTGTGGCTCACACTGACCTGTCGCCTGAGCAGGGTTCCTGTCCCCGTGCCCGGGGCTGGCAGCCTCGGCTCTGCGTGACTGCTCGCCTGCAGAGGCAGCCAGGTAGGTGCGTGTGGGCATGGCCTCAGCGTGGCAGCCCGTCCTTGGTGGGCTTGGCCACACCTTGGTTTTTGAGCTTGCTGGGGACGGTCACCGGGGCACTGTCCCGCAAGTGGGTGAGAGCTGGTGGCCCAGGTGTGAGCTGCACATCAGGAAGACTGGAGCCAGCAGTGCCTCTCGCCTGCCTGGGGCTGCCTGTGGGCCTCGCTGAGCTGTCCTGTGTCCTCCCTCCTGGCCTCTCAGGGGCTCCTGGCTCCAAGGTCTACCCAGTCCTGAAACCCGCCTGTTCCCACGGCTCTGGGCCGCCTGCCTTTCGCCTTCTGGCCTCGGGTTGGAGCCCGACTGCCCTCTGCTGGGCCTCGGCTGTGCTGAGCCAGGGAGTTGGCCACGCCCGGGTCTAGTGTGTAACTCCCCAGTGCCCGCCTCCCGGCACCTGCTCACACCCAGGTCTCAGGCCACCTTGCTTGGCTGGTCCCGCCCCCTGCAGCAAGGGGCTGCGCTTGGACCCTGGCTCAGGGCATTCTCTCAGAGGAGTGTCCCAGCGGGGCAGCGGTGGTGAGGTAGGTGCCTGCACCRTCCGGCCTCCCAGGCGTCCTCAGTGCTGGGCTCGGCCTCAGGGACACCTATTGTGCAGGAAGTGGCAGAAACATGGCCAAAGAAAGGGGTGGGGCGAGGGCAGGGAGCATTTCTGACGTGAATTGGATTTCAGCTGCTGCGGGCGGTGATAGCAGCCACTCCCCAGCAGCTCCCAGGCCTGGCTCTGCCGGCTCTGCCTGCGGCCTTCCCTGAGCTACTGCAGGCAGAAAGGAGCACAGCCCTGCCCCCAGGATGCTGGACAGCCAGAGGCCACACAGCCACAGACAGGCCTGCGAGGTGCCTGCGAGGGGACAGGGGGCGCTCGATGGCGAGGGAGCTGAGCAGACACTGAGGCACAGGCCGCAATCCAGAGGCAGCATCTTCTAGAACATTCTAGGTCAGGGCCAGCTCTGCCGGAGGCTGGGGAGCACAGCCAGACGGCTGCTTCTTCCTTGCCTGCCGGAGACACCTCCAGACACGGGCCCCAGCTGCTCTGGGGTTCCTCCATGGCTGTGCAGCGCTCCTCAGGCAGGACAGGGTGGGGGGGCACCGCCCTCTGAGGGCCTCTCTGCCGYGTCCCATGGGAAGGCAGGCCTGCCCCCTCGCTCAGCCTCCTCACCCAGCCGGACGTGGCACCCCACTCACCACACCCAGGCCAGGGCTCCCCCGCTCAACTCTGGAGCTGGATCGGCAYTGGCAGGACTTGTGCGCTTTGCCTGGTGACCTGTGTGGCTTGTGGCCTCCCTTCCCCGGGACTTCCCTCCCTGTGGGCTCCCCTGTGGCCTCCCTTCCCCGTGGCCTCCCTTCCCCGAGGCTGGTCCCGCTGGAATCGGCTGCCTCTGGCTGTCTTCAGGACGGCTCTGGAGCCTGCCTCCCGGCTCTGGGCAGGTGCTCACAGCCCCCGAATGGCAGGAGGGTGCTGTGCTTTTCAGTGCAAAAGCCTCGCAGGGTGTGTCCCGCTGCCTGCCTCAGCCAGGCCTATGCAGGCTGCGCGTCCTCCTCGCCTCCCAGGTGGGCCGCCGGCCTCTGCCTTCTGTGCTGTCATGGGGAGCCTGGCCTGGGGTCRAGTACAGGGCTTGGGCTTCTTCCATGTGTGTGCACAGGCCGCGCGTGTTCTCTGCTCTTGAGCCGAGTGTGTGTTTTCACCCGACTTAAGACCCGAGTGCTGTTGCTTGGGAGCTGAGTCTCCGAGAACAGCTTTACTGTCAGGGCTTGTCCTCACTCCTCCATGATGGGCAGCGCCCACTGCACCCGGCCTTCGCGCACAGGGCAGGGAGGAGAGGCCTGAGGAGCCGTGGCAGGCAGACAGCAGTCACAAACAGGTGGCCTGCATCTGCCAGGTCCACAGACAGGACGGTGGACAATGGGGGGCCTGCCCAGGGACGCTGGCCTGTGGGGCATGCACAGCCCACCCCGCCCTTTAAAGGTCACTCGGCCTCTGTGAGTGGTCGTGGCAAGCGCGGGCTGTGTGGTCTTTGTGCTCAGGCCCCAGGGCCCTTCCTAGGACACCAGGCCCTGATGACCTCTGCCCTCCGCTCTTGACCTGACCCACACAGGCCACCCACCTGTGCCAGCAGTGGCCACTGTGGAGACAGGACATGGCCCCGGGCCACGCYGAGGAGCAGCCTCACCATGGTGCTGATGCCCAGAGGTTCGAAGCCTACTGGGGCTCTGTGTGGAGCCCACCAGGAAGGAGCAGCACGGCCTTGGTGCCCGGGAGCAGCCCTCGTGGAGAGCTKCAGCTCTGCCCGCCGTGCAGACCTCCTGGTGCCTAGAGCACCCAGCACTCGGGGCTCCAAAGTCCCCTCCGGTTTCCAATCAAGGCCCCTCACAGACTCTGCAAGTGCCTGTTGATTGCAACAGTGCTCGGCAGTGGACATCAGGCAGTGGACACTTGGGCAGTGAGCACTCAGGAAGTGGGCTTGGGCCGTGGGCACTTGGGCAGTGGGCATCGGGTCCCTCATCTCTGGAGCATGGCTTGCTGCACACCACAGGGTCTGAAGTGAGAGGAGTGGGCTCTCGGGTCCCTCAGGGGACCAGCACGGGGATCAGCAAGGAGGCTYGCAGCACTCCAGGTTCCCACAGCTGCCTGTGTCTGGTCTCATCCTGGAGCTGTGGTGGCCCTGGCCGTGGCTGGTGGCCAGCAGCTTGGGCCACATGTCCGCGTCTCAGGGCTTCGAGTGTCTGCCACTGTGACCAGAGGGTCCGAGTTGTGCAGCTCTGGCGGGCAGTCAGGTGCTGGAGTAACTGGCACCTGCCCTCTCCCACCTGGGTATGGGCTCCCCTCTGCAGGGGAGGGGCTGACGCCCGTGGCTCCCTCCTCCCCCTTTGCTGGCCCCCAGATGACACCCGCTCTGAGCCCTGCAGGCACCAGGCGATTGCTCACTTACTGAGAGCCAGACGCCAGCCAGGGACCACGGGGGCCCACCAGCAGACCAGTGGCCACACAGCTGTCTGTGCTGCCACCCTGGCCCTGGGCCTTTGTGCGGAGCCAGCTTCTCTTGCTGGGGATGTGGAGGGCTGGGTGGTAGCTGCAGCCGCAGGACGCCTTCTCACATCCCCCTGAGAGACACTGGTCTCCTCCTCTCTCCCGAGTGCAGGCCGCCCCTCTGGCCAGCAGGCTGCTCTGTTGTGGCCCTGCCCCTCACAGGCCCCCGCTTCCCTCCTGCGCCCCATCACTGCCATCTATTACTGGTGCACCACCAACTGCTGCCCCCGCAGGGCCCACGGTGCTGAGGTGGGACCAGGCAGGGCCTCCCACCCAGGCAGGGCATTGCTGAGCAGTGTACCCTTCTCACGGGTGTGAGGCCTCGCCCCTCTATAAAGGGCTGGGCGGGAGGTGGCCTGGCCTGGGTGGGGAGCCGTCCATCAGGACGTGAGTCACAGGCCACCTGGCTGGCTGAGTGTCTGCAGAGGTTAGCTTCTTGGTGCCTCGCTGCCCCCTGCACAGGGCCCGTGTCCCCACATGTCCTTTAAAGGGATGTGGAGGAAACTCTGGGTGTTCTGGGGTCCCTAGCCCTGGCCATTTCTTCCAGGAGCTCAGGGTACCCCTCCTTGCCCTGCAGAACACCAAAGCATATAGACTATTACTGCCCTGGGTCTTTTCTGTTTGTTAGAAAAGCTCTTTATGGAGCTACAATCACACACCAAACACTGCCCCTGCGCACACCGCACAATCCACTGGCTTCGGTGGAATCACAGTTGTGCGCAGACCTCCCAGAAGATCCGTGACCACCTGTAGTCATTCCCAAGCCCACCCTCACGCCCTCTCCCCTCAGCCTTGGCCCCAAACGGACATCGTCTCCTTTCTGTCCATGTACATTTGGCCATTCTGGGCTTTTTTTTAATATATATATAATTGCATTTGACAAACTTAACATCCCTTCATGATAAATACTTTAGACAAATTAGATATTGAACAGACATACCTCAACATGATAACAGGCCCCCAACTGACATGCCAATGCTAATCCATAATCCAATCACCCCCAAAGACCCATCTCTGGACAGTCTACACTGGGGACCGAGTCTCCAATATGTGAGCATTGGGGATGGTCCAGACCCAAATGTGAAATATCTGTGATACATTTTGAATGGAATTTTGCATAACAAAAGTTTAAGTGGAGTTTATTTTTTCATGTGTGGTTATCCGGTTGTTCAGGTATAATTTATTGAAAAGATACCCTTTCATTGAGCCATCTAACTTTATCAAAAATCAAGGACATATTTGAATGATTCTGTGTGTGGATTTGTGATCTCCTTTATTGATCTATGTTTCTGTTCCTTTGCTAACACCACACTGTTTTGACTACTGTGGCTTTATAGTAAGACCTAAAATTATAGCGATTCCATAAAATAACTTTATTTTTTTCAGAGTTGTTTTGACTGCACATGTCAATTTTGGAATTATCTGTATAATATCTGTTTGTATCTGCATGTCCTTGAAGTGTCTTGATTGGAATTACATTATTTCCGTGGGTCATTTAGGAAATAATAATGCCTACGTTGAGGGTGCCAGTCCCTGAACATGGCCGGCTCTGCCCTCTTGTGGTGTTTTCAGCTAAGAGGTGCTGTCTGTGTTTTGTTAGATTTACACATAAATGAATGTTTCTTCTTTTGTTTTTTCCTGCTTTTCTTCTTTTTCAACTTTTGTAAGAGGGGAGTCTCTCCGTTTCTAGTTGTTGCTAGTAGTTGTCTGTGCCTGTGCAGCCAGTCTGTCTTCCTCTGGTAACTTGGCGGTCCTCTGGTGAGCCTCAGGAGTGTTGGTGAGTAACCTGGGGGACCCCGGTGCAGTCGTACTTGCTTTGCCCCGTGCAGCCTCGCAATTGTCTCTTCTGCCTTGTTGCCATGACTGACCTCCAGCACCAAGCCCAACAAGAGTAGTGAAGTGGACATCCTCATCTAGTTCCTGATCTTCATCAAGTGTGATGCCAGCTACAGGCCTTCTAGTAGGTTTCCTTCTGGGTATGACGTGCTGGGCTTGTTGATCACCCAGGAATGTTGAAGACACTCGGTTGGCTCYTCTCCCTCAGGCTGTTGGTACCAGGGTCACACTGATGTGGAACCAGCCTGTGTCCCCAGGTGTACCACTTTTGTTATAGTGAGTGTGTGTCCTTAATGATGGTCCCTCCAACAAGGTATCATCGAGCAGTTTGGTTGTGATATGAAATCCTGGAGGGAGGGGAAGCCTGCCGCACACCTGGGCTGCCCTAGGTCACGGCCTGGAACAGCGTGTCACTGTGCTGACAGCTGTGGGCAGTCATGTATCTGAGCATATCTAAAATAGAAAAGGTACAGCAAAAGGGTGGTATAAAAGGTTTAAGAAAGCACTTACCATGGATGGAGCTTGCAGGAGTGGAAGTCACTCCACTGCACACGTAGGCTGCAGTGGRTTTAAAAAAAAACACAACTTTCTTCCATAATAAGTTAACTTTAGTTTACTGTAACATTTTTACTTTGAAATTCTTTTTAGCTGTCTGACCCATTTGTATGGACCCTTAGCATAAGACACAACATTGTATGGCTGCATAGAAATACTTTCTTTCTTTATATCCTACTTCTGTAAGACTTTTTCCTGTTTAGTTTTGTCTTTGCTTCTTAAACTTTTTGGTTATAAGCCAAAACACAGTGTGCATGTCAGTGGAGGCCTGTGCACCAGGTCTCCGTCTTCTGCTGCATGCCTTGTCCCACAGAAGGCCGTCACTTCCCTGGGGACAGTGTTGTCCTTCAGCGGGAGGCTCTGAAGTAGAGATGAGAGGGTGGTGCAGGCAGCATGCACCGTTGGCTGTCCTGGTCTCAGGAACCGTGCAGGGCCATTTCCACAGCTCCTCTGCCTGCCTGGGCCGCACCCGGGCTGCAGCACYGTAGCCCTGACTTGGCCCTGGGTAGTTCTCAGCTCCACTGTGCTCAGGGCCACTGTCACATGCGCAGCCCAGCATGGCGCCCGTGCTGACCTTTGCTGAGGCCTGGGCCTTCGTGGGACGTGGGCCTGTGGTTCCCTGGTCTTGTGCCCTCTGCGCCTGGCCTCACACTGCGGGGAGCGTCCCTCCTCCTCTGCCTCTGCAGGGCCTGGTGTGGGATGGTGGTGCTCTTCTGCAGGTTGGGTAGAGTCCACCAGGGCAACCTCTCGGCCTGGAGCTCCCTTTTATGAGGTCTAGCTATGAGTTGTTACGTAGAGTGTGGTCCTAGCCCGTTCTGTCATCTCTTGTGTCCTGACTGYGTCTGGGAGTGGGCCCGTTGTTGACTGTGTGTGTCCAGCGCTGCTCTCCCTCCACTTGCTGACGCTCTGAGTCTTCTGTTCTTATGTCTGTGGGAGTTTATGTTCCATTGCTTTGATGTTTTCCCAGAGAACTACTTTGGGGTTCACTGAATTTTTCCCCTCCCATTGTTCTTCTCTTTTCAATTTTACCCATTTCTGTTCTTACCTCGGATCACTTCTTCAGTTTGATTTTGGCTTGTTTTTCTCTTTTTCTAGCTTCTTCTGGTGATTTGAGACCTTTCCTCTGTACTGATAGATGCATTTGATCCTATGAGTTTTCCCCCAACCACTGCTTTAGCTGCATCCCTCAGATTTCAATACGGTGTATTTTCATTTTCATTCGATTCAAAATATTTTTAAATTTTCCTTAAGACTTTCTTTTTTTGGCCATGGATTACTTAGAGTGTCTTGTGTTTTTTCTGAATGCTCGGTGATTTTTCTGTTATCCAGTATTGATTTTCTAGTTTAATTTCATTGCAGTCAGAATGCATACATGGTATGATTTCATTATGTTTAAATTTGTTGAGGTGTTTTCCGTGGCCCAGAGTGTGCTTTCTCTTGGCGGCAGATCTGGTGTGAGTGAGGAAGTGTGTTCTGCTGGGCCTGGTTGGAGGGCGCTGCTCATGTTGGAAAGGTGGTGGCTGGCACAGCTCTGCTCTGCACTTCTTGGGTTTCCTCGCTGCTTGTTCTATGACTAAAGTGAGGAGTGTTGGAGTCTCCAGCTGTAACTGTCTATCTTTGCCCATGTGTTTTGAAAGTCTTGTCTGATACACACACATTTGCAATCATTAGGTCTTCCTAGCAAGTTGGCCCTTTCACCAACAGGTGGTGCTGCTAGAAATGTCCTTGGCTATTGAATCTATTTTGTCTGGTGTTAATATAGCCATTTCAGTTTCTGTTTTGTGTTTGCATGGTATGTATGATTCTCTCCCACCTTGATTGTATTTGAAGTAAATTTCTCATAGGCAGCATGTGATTGGTCAAGATATTTCTTCAGTCCAGCCTGACAAGCTCTGCTACTTAACTGGTGTGTTTAGACCATTTACGTTTAGTGTGATTTCTGATGGGCTTGAATTCAAGCCTGCCACTTTATCCTGTTTACTGTTTTGCCCTAGGTTTTTCATTTCTGGGCTTCAGGGATAAGAGTGTAGTTGCTCATTTCCCACAGCCTCCTTGGAATCAACACCATCATGCTTCCGGAAAACTGTAGAGCCTTGCCACACGCAGGCCACAGCACCCCACCCTTGTCTGTGGCAGCTTTCAGCTTCAGGAGTGCAGAGAGCGCGGGAGGCAAGGGGAGTCCTGCTGGTGCACCCAGACGTTCAGTTTCTGTGGCTTGTGCTTTATCCSTGGTGCCCCAAGTCTCCTGCTGCTGCGTTCCCTGTCTGAGTACAGCCTTTGGCGTTACTGGAGACCAGGTCTGCCTGCAGCACACTCTTGTCTCTCTCCGTCCGTACTCCTGGATTTGGAATTCTGGGTTCATAATTATTTTCTTTCAGAGCTTTAAAACTATAGCTTCACCAGGCGTGGTGTGATCCCAGTGATTGGGAGGCCGAGGCCAGAGGGTCCATTCAAGACCAGCCGGGCAACCTTGAGACCCTGTGTGAAAATAAGACATAGAGCTGACCATGGGGCTCAGAGGTAGAGTGCCCCGGGGTTAATCCAAGGACCACACCCCCCCACAAAAAGTCATTCCACTTCTCCCTGCCTCACGTTTCTGAAGAGAAGTCAGTAGTCATTGAACCTTGGTCTTCTTTAAGTAAAGCATTGTCCTTTTCTGACTGCCATCAAGATTCTTTCTTTGTCTTTAGTTTGAGTCGTTGATCATTGGATTAGGTATGTGCAGACGTGGACTGGTCCTACCTGGGATCCTCTAAGGTTCTTGAATCCACAGATTTATGTCCTCACCAGATTTGGGGATTTTACCCAGATTTCACCCAACCTTTMTCTTTCCTCCCCAGCTCTCCTCTGCCATTTTTCCAGGAGTGAGAGCTGTCCGCTGCTGCTGCGGTCATGCTGGCCCTCTCCACTGCGCCCTTCGTTCCCGGTCCCCTCCTGGGGGTCTGTTCTGTGCTGAGCCACCCAGGGCCCTACTCCTGCTTTCCCTCTTCATGTCCTTGCTGAGACATTCTGGCTGTTTGACCCATTTCCAGAGTGTGGCCCTCATTTGTGGAGCGTTCTCATCCCGTGTGCTGTGCGGTCTTTGCCAGGCAGTTCCCACTTCTGTGCCGCCTCCATCGTCCCACTTGCTGATGCTCTCTGATCCTTTGTGTGCTGACTCCTGGACATTCTGGACCTTATGTTATGAGATGCTGGGTCTCGTTTGCACCTATAAAAATAGTGTTCTTATTGGCTAAAATCTGCAAGTCCCAGCCTGCCTTCTCTGAGGTCAGCTTTGTGTGCACCTGTCTCAGGTGTACCACCTGGCGCCAGTCTGTCCACAGCAATGGAACACATCCAGGCCAGCAGAGGGAAATCAGCAAGTTTAAATAGCGTTTGCGGTTTGACTTAAAAGCCCAGCTCCCAGCTCCAGAATGCTGCACCCCTGAGCCACTCCAGCAGCCCTGGACAGGAGTTTCGTGTGAGACGTGCCCTGGGGTGGGATTTGGCACAGCCTTTAGAAGTGGGCAGGCAGCTCACGTCCAGCTGGGGCCCTGAGTGCTGAGCCTGGGCCAGTCCCGTCTCCGGATCTGGAGAGCTGCACTCTGCCTGGGGACTAGTGAGGTGGTCCCGGGCTGGGCAAGGGCAGGGCAGGAGGGTGGCCCTGGAGGGACGGAGCTCTCTCCACAGAGGGCTGTGTTTTCCAACAACGTGTCTGATTCCAAAAAGCACCTGGGCCGGGATGGGAGGTCCACAGCAGGGGAGACCCTCTCCGAAGGGAGTGTGCCCAGTCCGACCTGCCCGTCCCTCCCCCTTTCTGCAGGTGTCCCCRGGGTTTGAAGAGAAGGAAGGGGAGCTGCTGGTCAGGGGACCCTCTGTGTTCCGAGAATACTGGGACAAACCAGAAGAGACAAGAAGTGCGTTCACCGCGGACGGCTGGTTTAAGACAGGTAGGGCCAGCTCTGCAGGGTGGGGCCACCTGGTGGGCTGCTGTCCTGTGCCCGAGTACCCAGCTTCCCCCGGCTCCCAGAGGAGGGTCCTCAGGCTGACGTCCCTCAGGAGACAGAGCCCGCCACACAACGCCTTCTGTCCTCTGGCACACGCGTGTGCACGCCCAGCGGCCTAGCCCCACACACTCCTTCCAAGTGGTCCTGCGGCCCCTGTCCAGCCACAGCCTTGCCTGTGAGTCCTCCACCTCGGGTCAGGGCCACTGTGGTGCTCTATGTGGTCCTGCCCTGTTGCCCCCACCAAGTCCCTCTGCCCAGTGGCCTGCCCTGCAGCTCGGGGTGTGGGCCAGTGTGGCGTCCTTTCTCCTGAGACACCACCCAGCGCTGAGCAGCCGCCCACCTCCGTCCTGCCTCCTCTGTGAGAAGCGGGCCTGGCCCGGGATCCAGAGTCCTGCAGGACACGGCAGGAATGGGTGTGCCCTGGTGGCAGTGTGGCTTTGGCAGGAGGACAYACACAGGAGGAGCCCCTGCCTTCAGTGGGCGCTGGGTAGTCTTCCTCTTCGCCTGCCTTTAGTGTGAACGTGTTCATTTTGTAGTTCTTAAGGCAACATTTTTCCAAAAAGCTGTTTTCCCACGTTGCAGTTTGCTGGCCTCTGTGACAAAGGGGCTGATTCCTTGCTCTTGGGGGCTAGCGGGTCAGGCAGGGCAGGTCTTGTGCGTCTGAGAGGAGAGAGGTAGGGAGGGGGCCCGTGGCTCATGAGCGTAGCCCTCAGCCTGGTGGCCCCAACGACCCTGGAAGCAGAGCTTCTCAGCCCACCAGACCCGCATGGTCAGGAGGCCGCAGGACCCAGCACCCTGGGGGCCCGAGTCACCGGGTCACAGAAGTCGAGGACCCAGCCACCTGGAGGTCCAAGTGCAGTAGAGACAACCCCGGGTGAAATTTCAGACCAGGGTCCTCCCTGCTGAGGAGCAGGGAGGCCCAGGAGCTGCCCCTGCCCCCCAGCACCTGGGGCCTTTGGGGCCAGGCACTGGCTCTGGCCATTCACCTCTCATCACCTTCCCGTCCTCTCCCAGTGAGGGAGGCCGCAGAGAGCCCCACAGATGGGCAAGGACAGGGCTGGGCGGGCTGCGGGCGGGCATGCGGGTGCTGCAGATGTGAGGGTGAGCCTTTCATGAGCCCAGAACAGGCTGCTGCCCTGGACAGGCTCCACACGGAACTCCTTGCCGGGCGCCAGAGGTCGGGAGTCGCCAGCTGTGGTTAGCTTGTTAGGTGCCCCGCGGGCCCCTCGGAGCCTCCCACTGGGCGAGCTTTCTGGTGGACACCAGCCTGCCCTGATCATCCCTCAGTGGCCGCAGGAAACTCTGCTTCTGAACCGCCCACGTCCCCAGGGCCCGAGCCCATGCAGCCCTGCACAGGCCCCGGCTGGCTCATGGTCACCTCTTTTGGTTTCATTCCCTTTATTTTAAAATGAAGACAAAAGCTGTTGGTTTGTTCTTTTCTCCCCACTTAAAAGCATAGGAACCCAACAGTGTAGGTATTGCCAAGGTCGGGACACCCGTGTCACCTCTGGGTGACATGCACAGGGTGTCCAGCTGAGGGAGGGCCCAGTGCCTCTGGGTGACGTACACAGGGTGTCCAGCTGAGGGAGGGCCCAGCGCCTCTGGGTGACATGCACAGGGTGTCCAGCTGAGAGGAGGGCCCAGCGCCTCTGGGTGACGTACACAGGGTATCCAGCTGAGGGAGGGCCCAGTGCCTCTGGGTGACATGCACAGGGTGTCCAGCTGAGGGAGGGCCCAGTGCCTCTGGGTGACATGCACAGGGTGT